TATGGGGGAACAGATTTTAAGGTTTCAATAAATGCCCTCCCCCCCCACAAGTCCGAGTTTCCAGCATGGCCATCCCCCAGATGGTGCACATCTCACTCCTTATGTATATATATACCCCCCCCCCTCCCACCTGCCCAATACCCTATTACTGTAGTACCTATGTGTCCACTTAGGTGCTGCTCAGTTAATACCAGTTTGCTGGAGAATATATCTGGTGCTTGTTTTTCCATTCTTGGGATACTTCACTTAGTAGTATGGGTTCCAGCTCTAACCAGGAAAATATAAGATGTGCTATATCACCATTGTTTCTTAGAGCTGAATAGTACTCCATGGTATACATATACCACATTTTATTAATCCATTCTTGGATTGATGGGCACTTGGGCTGTTTCCACAGCCTTGCAATTATGATAGTGTGCTTATTTTATACTTGTATATCCTCTTTGGTGAACTGTCTGTTCACATCAGTTACCTGTTCTCTAATTGATTTTTCTTTTTTTACTGTTGAGTTTTGAGAGTTCTTTAGATATTCTAGATAAAAATCCTTTGCCAATATTTTCTCCCAATCTGTGGCTCATCTTCTGATCCTCTTCACAGGATCTTTCATGGTGCAAAAGTTTTGAATTTTGATAGAGTACAATTTGTTAGGTTTTTTTTCTTGTAAGGATAGTGATTTTGGTGTCATGTTTAAGAGATCTTCACCCATCCTAAGGTGCCTAGCATTTATTCCTATGTTGTTTTATTCTAAGAGATTTATAGTTTTTATGTTTTACATTTAAATTTATGCACCATGATCCATTTTGGATTATTCATGTATAAGGTGCAGTTCAGTTAGGGATTCAGTTTTTTAAACCCATGGATGTCCAATTGTTTCCACAGCATTTGTTTAAAACAGTATCCTTTCTTCATTGGGTTATTTTTACCCCTTTGTCAAAAATCAGCTGAGCATATTTGTGTGAGAAGATGTGTGGAGAAGTTAGCTAGACCTCAGGGAGAGGTGAAATCTTCAAGGGAAGAGTTCAGGACCAAGGACAGAGCAACTAGCATATTCCCAATTAGGGACGGGGGTTCTGGGTTCTCTATTTTCTTCTTGATCTGTGTGTCTATCCTTCGGCTAACATTATACTGTCTTTATTATAGCTATATAATACGTCTTAACATCAGGTAACATCTTCCTACTTTATTCTTTTTCAAAATTGTTTTAGTTATTCTAGTTCCTTTGTGTTTTCATATAAATTTTAGAATAAGCTTGTTTTTATTCACAAAAAATATTGCTAGGATTTTGATAAGAACTGTATTAAATTTATAAATCAGTTTGGAGAGAACTGACATTTTTATTATGTTGAGTTTTCCAATCCTCAAACACAGTACACATCACAATTTATTTAGATATTCTTTGATTTCTATCATCAGTGTTTCGTAATTTTTAGTGTATAGATGCTGTACATATCTAGGTAGATTTATACCCAGGTATTTAATTTTTTTGGAGTGGTTGTAAATAATACTGTGTTTTTCATTTTGGTTTCTACATGCTTGTTGCTAGTATATAGAAATATGATTTTTTTTGGTGTATTGACTATGAATTCTGTGACCTTGCTGAACAAATTTATTAGTTCTAGGAGGAGTTTTTGTGTGTATTCCTTGGGAGTTTTCTATGTAGACAATAATGGCTTCTGCAAACAGGGATAGTTTTCTTTCTTCCTTTGCAATCTGTATGTTTGAATGGTGTCTTGGATGCCATAGGGAGCCCCTGGAAGGTTTTAAACATTCTGATGACCATGGGGAGGATTGGACCCTAACAGCAGCAATGAGACATCAGTGCCATAGTTCCGTAGCACGGAGGAGGTCATGCAGGGAGGAGGAGCAATGGGGCAGGAGTAAGAAGTAGACTGCAGGGATGATACGAACCAGGATTTTATGCATTCATTTTTTCAAGTTGTCAAGGTGATGTCTGCTCACTGGTGACTTGATATTTCTTATCACCTATTTTAAAAGAATGAAAATTAAGCTCAACCCTGAAAAAAGGAGTTGCTCCAGTTTCTGCTGGTCCTAAAACACCATGCTGTTAAGCATGCGATCGGGCTACTTGGTCAGATCTGAGCTGTTTTTCCTTCTTCCTCTCCTTCCCTCTCGTTTCCTCCTTCCCTCCTTCCCTCTCTCCCTGTTTCTCTAGGGAGGGAGTGATGGCTTTAAGCTAGAGCTCTTCCACAGCAGAGCTTGGGTCCACTTCTTGATACCAGCTTCTTGTCCTGAAGCCTGTTCCTCCGTCTGTCTGTCTCCCCTCCAGGGAGATCCCACTGTGACCCCCAGCCCAGGAGTTGGTCCTGGCAAATGAGGAAGCTGTCCATGCAGCAGTCTTGTGAATGGGATGAGGGCGGGATTTCCAGGAAAGGCTCCCGTTGCCCACCTGTGCCTGGAGATGGATTGCCACCCAGAGTTCTCACTCCTGCCTGCCTGAGTGGTTCTCCCAAGAATACTGCAGTTCAGGGCTCCAACGTTAAAAATCTAAACTGAATCCTCCCTTGAAAATATGGATGTGCCAGAGTGTGGCAAGAGGGTGGGCTGGAGTCTCTGGATCTTTGCTTGCATGAGAGGAGAAAGGGCTTGATGGACAAAACATTGTCCTAAGGGAAGAGAAGTCCACGTCCCTGACCTTGGTTTAAGGAGCTGAGCGGAGAGAGAGGCAGCCTCCAAATGCCCCCGCGCCTGGTGGGCTCTGCTCACCTCTGCTTTCTCCCCTTCTCCCCCACGGGGCTGACCCAAGGACCCACCTAAACCCCCATACTCTTTCCACCTAATTCTTGAAGGCTGAAAGGAAGTAGATTAGAAGTTTAAAGTGTATGCTGTCAAGAAAAGCCTAGAGTCCTCTGTGTTTGGTGCTGAATCTGAGCCAGGAATCTGAGCGTGAGAGGACAGGAGCTGGCTGTGGGGGAGAGGGCACGACCACGCGGCTGCTCCCGGCACTCTCCTTCCTGGCCTCCCAGGTGAGGGGGCTGCAGCCTGGGAACCTGGACCTGCAGGGGAAGGGGCAGGAAGCAAAAGGTCCCTTCTCTAAAGGCAGACGAAGTGTTTGGGAAATAGTCGGGGCGTGGTGGAAGGGAAAGCTTTTGCAGAAGCCGGGGGTAGAGAGGGAGGAGACTTTCTCTTGCTTTCACATAAGCCTCGGCATATGGAGCAGGGGTGGCATCTCAAACGCACACAGGTGCCCGACAGGTGACGTCAAGGCATAGCACAGTTGGGGGTGGCAGGTACTGTGGTGAGCTGGAGCCCACGTGCTCCCTCCAAGGGGCAGCGATCGGCCAGCTGTCCCCACGCGGCGTTGCGGGCCCGCTGTCCTCAGGCATTTTCCCACTTTCAAAAGACAAGCCGGAAGTGAAATGTCTTCATGTTCACACGTAGGCAACCAACTCCACTGGAAAATATTGTGACCAAAACAAAACATGTCCGCAAATCCGTGTGAGTTATGGACACTCGCCTGTGACGTCTGAGGACAGGACAGAAATTTCAGAGCCCCGTAGTTCTGCCTGGGGCCATATGGTGCCGCAGCAGGTGTGGGGACTGACCTTCCCAAGTGCACAGATGGGCCTGCAGGGAGGCCGCAGGTCCAGCTCTGCTCCCTGGCCAGTGACGGGGGACCAGGTGGCGTCACCCCTCAGGTCTTGTCGTTCTTACACGCGGTATGCAGGCTCTAGGTTGCAATGCTCCCAGGAGGCAGTTTCAAGCCATGGCTGCAAATACCTCAATGCTTCTTCCCTTAGCGTGGGGCTTACGTGCCCTCCCCCCAAGTCTGGGTGGGCTATTAATGCTTCAGCCCGTGGGTTGGAGCAGCATTTCTCCGCCTTTGTCCCATTGTCATCCTCCTCCAGAGCCTGTTTAGGTATTTTTCCCCCTAAAAACCTCCCCTTATGAAATTTTAATACCAAAGATTTATTGTACATCTTTCTATCTTTGTGTTTCATAACTAAAAAGAGTATCATTGTTTTCCCCTTTCGAGAACCAACATGTGCCCTTTTTGGGCATGCATGGCTCGAGCATGGGGAAAGTGCCACCGCGTGGCTTCCAGAGCCAGCTCAGGAGAGACCTGTAGCTCCTCCCTCAGTCCCTTGAACCACTGAGCTCTGGGCACGTGGCCTCTTAGAACCCAGCTGCCACATAGGAAAGCCACGTGTAGGGTCTCTGGGCAACAGTCCCACCTGAGGTCAGTCTTGGGTCACCCAGCCCCTGCTCCAGGCATGTGGGGGAGAAGCCTCCAGGCGATGACAGCACCCAGCCCTCCACCTCTTATTAGCTGACACAGACCCAGACGTCGTGGGTGAGGGACAGGCCACCTCTGCTGCACTCTGTCCAAATTCCTGACCACAGACAATCTCCGATGTAACGAAATAATTGTTGTTTCACGCCGTAAAGTAAAATGTAAGCAACAGACAACTAGAATATTCCAGCTCAGTCAGTTCTAGGGGGAGGGAAGATGCCTAGGAGGGATGAGCATGGCTCTGCTGCACAGACGGGGGCTGTGAACACAGTTGATTGCTGCTGCTGCTCGTAGCTCCTCTGTGATGTCACGTGCTGGGGAAGTTGTGGCTCTTGTGCTGTGATCAGCAGTATGCCGACGCTGGAGACTGAGTCAGGCCGTGGGGTGGGGCGGTGTTCCCGGCAGTGCTGTCCGGGGCACCAGCAACTCCCCCCCCCCACACCCTCCGAGGCTCCTCCCGGTGCTCTTGGGCAATCTCGGGGCAGTTGCCAGCACGAGGGAACTAGCCCCGTTTGCAGGTGGCGAGGAAATAAATGCTAAGGGACAGAGGAGGAGTTTCGGATGGATCATTCGGCTCAGTCTTGGGGAAATTACAGATGACGCGGTCTCTCCTAACAAAGGACTTAAGAAAAGAGAGATAATGATTCAAAAAAAAAAATAGTTCAAAATAAAATACAGTGAAAAAAATGAGCAGAGTACAGAAAGAATGTCAGTAAAAGAGAGAAATAATGACAAACCGATCAAGAGAAAATATATATGCTTTTGCAAATTAAGAGAGAAAAAGGCGTACAGGGTTACCCCGTTGAGAGTGAGCTGGAGGAAGGGAGGCGTGAAGGGCGGGCGCCCTGGGCTTGCTGTCGCACACGCAGCTCTGGAGGAAGAAAGCGCAAAGAGCAGCTCAAGCCCAGAGCGGTTGATGGCAGCTGTGCTGGCTGGGAGCTCCCTTTTCTCCATCGTTTGTACAAGCTGTTCCCTCTGCCCAGAAGATTTTCTCTTCTCTGTTTGAAGAAATCAGAGCCTCATGCTCATCCCTGAAGGCTCAGGTCAGCCCCTTCCTGGCCACCAGAACACTTTATGCTACTGGCTGGTGCATAGAGATTGGCAGTAGCATCGGATATGAAAGCCGAGCTCTGAGCCAGGAAATCGGGTGACAGGCAAGAGGCCCGTGTGACAGTCCTGTGCAGGAAGGTAACTTTAGACTGCAGAGCAGGGACAACCCCCTGAGGGAAGAGCATCAGGACAGACTCCAGGAGATGCCAGGAGAGGGGGTGAGAGCATGGAGGGGCTTCAGCAAGGAAGAGAGAAGAGGGGGAGAGGCAGCTGGTGCCGGGCAGAGAGGCCCATCGGAAGGAAGAGGGGACAGGCTGGAAGGTGACTTTGAAATCAGTAGAATAAGCAGTTTTGGTGCAGTGAGATGGCCCACAGTCCACAGCCAGGGACAGACATGCAAAGCGATGGGGAAAGAAACTGGGACAAAAGTAAAGCCAAAGAGAAAAGGCAACTTCCCTTCCTGACACCCCCACCACAGGCTGGGGTTCAGAGTGACTCGGGACCCCAGGGGAGGCCGTCAGAGGGGAGGGCCAGTGGGTCAGGCTCTGGGAGGGAAGACAGCCAAGGCAGGAGGCGCCCTGTGGTGGGGGCGCCTGGAAGGAGTCTGGGGTGTGGCAGATTCTCCAGCTGTGGGCCTGAGCACCGCCTGCTTCCCAGGCGTGAAGCCAGCGGCCCCGGGGAGGGGGCGAAGAAAGGTTTTATTATCCAACAGTTACTAGGTGGGGTGTTGGGGGAAAATATAAAGATAACATAAATGGTATCTGTGTTCTAGGACAGTGTCTTTTCTCTACCTTGGCAGGCAGAGAGAGGGGCACATAGAGATAGACAATGACGATATGAGAGAGACGGGGACAGACAGACGGATGATATGTGAGAGGTACGGAGATGGATAGGTGAGTGGATAGACAAATAGGCAGATGCTTACCCAACACGTAACACACGTGCACATGCGCACACACACACAGACACGCGCACAGAGACGTGTCCACACTCTCTCTCAAATGCACGAATCCCCGTGGAACTTCAGGACTCAGCACGGGACTCAGCCCCCAGCCCACACCCACTCCTTCCTGGCAGGGCGGAGGTGTCTGGATGGGTTCAAAGCCTCCACAGCTGGTCTTGACTTGTACCTAGAATTGAAAACCTCTCCTCCAAGGAGCTCGGGGCACAGGGAGGAAGACAGGCAGTGGGACAAGGTGTGACCGATGTGACAGCTCTCTGGAATGTCGCTCAGGCCTGCACATCGGCCTGCCTGAATCTCTGCTCTGGATGAGCCAGAGACAAGACCGTTGTTCAGTGGAGTCAGTGCCGCACCTGAGATAGCCTCTGATGTTGCCCCTCTGCTGTGGCCGAGACAGCGAGTCCAAAACTATTTCATATTCATGGAAAATTTCACATTCATTCTCCCCGCCCTGCCCAGTAGAACTCAGGGGAGCCTCTGAACCCAGAGGCAGAGGCGTGATGAGGCGTGGGGGTCGCAGGTGAGGCTTGGGGCTGTGTTCGTGAGCAGCCCTCCCACCCACACCCGTCCCCAACCACGGGCACGCACGGCTGCAGGCAGGCGCTGACTCCTAGGTGAGAGAGCAGCTCGTTTTTCGGCTTAATATCACATCTGGGGAAACCTTAGCAGGTGCAGGCGATGCTGAGCCCACCTCAATCCTCCTCAGTCTGGATTGAGAAAATCCCACCATGTCCGCACACCTTAGGCATAGCCTACAAGTCCAGAAGGGATGAAAGGCTCATGCAGTTTGGCATGAAGACACGGACCCGTCGTACATACTCCACACTCCCGCCTGCGTGAAGGTCTCAGTCGGCTCTGTACTGGCTTATTCCCAACTCTGACCAGATATCTGAGAGTTATCAGGAGTCTGAGGAAGGCCCATAATTTAGAAGAGAAGGACCTGATAATACAAAACAACACAACAGAGACATGGCCACAGGGTGAAAAGATACATAAGTCAGGGAAGAGAAGAGAGCTTGAAACACATCGGCAATGGAGAACCCAAAGAGAGCTTTGGAAATAAACATATAATTTCTAAAATCAATATTTGAAACAAGGGTTGGAAGAGAAAATAAAAGCATAAAATAATGCACTATAAGAGCCTCCCCAAATGTAGAACACACCCCAGGTATATGAAACATATAAAAGGAAAAAGAAGAGACAAAAAGAATGTCTCAGGGAGAGAGGGGAGGAGCGTGACCGGGGGCGGGAGAGGCTGTGAAGGCCACTTGGGAGGACAGCAGAACCAGCAGGGTCAAGCAGGCAGCAGGAGACAGGTAGACAGGTGGGAAGGAAGCAGCCAGAGCCAAATGAAGCCAAAGAGAAAGGGCCAGGTCCCTTCCTGCCACTCCCAGCACAGGCCTCAGCTTGAGAGTGTCTCGGGACCCCAGAGGAGGCTGGCACCAGGGGGGCCTGAGAGGGAGGCCGGTGTCAGCTGTGGGTGCTGCCTTCTTCCCAAAGTGCAAATCAGCACGTCTCCATCTGGGGCCTTCTCGCCCCTATCCTGCGTCTCCTGCCTGGGATTCCCCCAGCTCCCATCCTTGCCCCTGGGGCAAACCCCATCACGACTGGGACTTCTTCTTTTCCAGGTGCACAAGTGTCAATGCAGCTAGTGCCACAGTGTGACTCATTCTTTCCAAAGCATGACACCCCTTTCTTCCTAATATGGAAAATGGGGAAATGGCTGCAGATATAGAAGGACGTGATAAGGGAGACTCGAAGCACATTGGAGCAGGCTTGGGGGATTCTCTTCCCAGCTTGGCTTCACGTCCCTGAAGGGCGTTGAGCACCTGTGAGCACCCAGGCGAGGAGAGGAGCCAGGACCATGTGGCTGTGCCCTGCTCTGCTCCTGGTCATCCTCTCAGGTGAGTGCATGGGGGCTTTAGACGCTGGGATGCCAGGTGCTGGGCAGGAGACAGAGAGGCTCCAGCCTGGGGGATGGAGACATTGAGAGAGAAGGGCCGGCCCGAGTCACTCACCTCTGCCCCTGTCCGTCAAACCACAGTCAGGTTTTCCTTGTCTCACAGGGTCTCTGTTAGGTGCTGTGGAAACAGGCAAAACCAAAACAAAGAAAAATGCTTCCTTTCTAGAATAGTTTCTCACCCCTGGCCGTTCACATAAACAGGTGAATGACCTAATGAACGAGTTCATTTTCTACAAAATTTTAAGGAGCGCAGCTACTCAGGGAAGGAGGTTCCACGGGAAGTAAAATGACCACAGTTACTTATCCACTGACTTATCAAATATGTAGGAGGAAAAACTCCGACGGGGAGATTTGCATGCAGAACGTTTGCTGAGCAGACACACACATGATTATCGTCAAAATTTCAAAGTTAATGCAGATAGAAGGGGCACATATGTGTATTGGTCACCTCAGGCCGCCACAACAGAGAGACAGACGTGCATTTCTCACAGGTGTGGGGGCTGGGAAGTCTGAGGTCAAGGCGCCCACAGAGCAGGTGCTGGTGAGGGCTCTCTTCCCGGCTTGCGGGCGGCTGCCTGCTCCCTGTGTCCTCACTGACCTCTGTGTGTGGACCTGGGCGGGTAGAGAGAGAGCAGCTCCCCGGTGTCTCTCATCAGGGCACTAATCCCACTGTGAGGGCCCCACCCTCATCACCTCCATGTAGAATCTGGACATGGCTGGAATCCTCAAGGAGCCAGTGGGTGTGGGGATCAGGGAGAACAAGCAGGCTCTGGAGAGGAGGATAGTCGTGGCCCAAGCCCGGGAGCCTGTCTGGGTCTTTCAGGAACCAGTGGGTCCCAGGGCAGCCCTGGGCTCGGGGTGGCAGGGATGCGCTGCAGGCTTGTGTTTGCAGCTGCTTCTCCGTCAGTGTCCACCTGCAGGGAGTGGCCAACAGGGGAGATGATGACCACGCAGTGTTGCTGAGAAACAAGACAGAGGACCCAGGAAGTGGTGGTGTCGAGGGGCTGTGTGGAGCAAATGTGGGGTCCCTGTTGTAACCACTGGGTCAGAGCAGGAGGGGAGAAAGGACCCTGTGTCCATCAGGGACAGTCAGAAAAGCCACATGTTCACTGTGACCATGGAGGAGCTCAGGAGAGACGACGCTGACACACTGATGTGGGATTGAGAGACGTGGAACTGACCCCGGGGGTCCAAGGTGAAGGGACCAATGACCCAGGGGAGAACTCTTCCCTCATGTGACCAGTGTGTCGAGGATGGAGGTTTCACAGTCTCCTTCCCCAGGCAATGAAGATGCGCCCCCACCCCTGCCTGAGATCCTGTGTGTGAGTGTTAGTGTGTGTGTATTTGTGTGTGTGTGTGTGTAATTTAGAGCTGTCACATCTGCAGTAGAGGTTGTGAATGTACCTCCTACCATTCCAGGCAGGTTACAGAGGGTGAAGCGGCATTGTCTTAACCAGTAAGTTATTCCTGTTCTTCCTTCCTTTCCTCACCTTTGCAAAATTCAGCATACAGGGAAATCTTTCCTTACTGAAGCAAAAATAACACTTGAAGCACGGCAAATGACTACTGACACGAGGGCTGGGTGTCGGGGAGACCCTGGCAATCGGGAGCAAGAGATACCGGGGAGACCCAGCCCGCCTCACTGCAGCCCACGGTCCTCGTGCAAGAAGTGGCTCTGTCATTTCAGATCTTTCAGTTTTTCTGGAGCAGCCAGAAGTCTGGATTTCAGTGGAGACGTTCAAAGTTAAGACTCGGGCTTACCGTGTTTCCCGGAAAATAAGACCTACCCATAAAATAAGCCCTAGCAGGATTTCTAAGCATTTGTGCAATATAAGCCCTACCCCGAAAATAAGACCCAGTGATGGGCGCAGCTACACAGCGTGTCTGCACGACCCGAGCATTTCGTTGCGGAGTGGTAAAGAAGACGAGCAGCCCTTCTCATCTGCCCCATGAGAGCTCTATTGCTCGACAGGAGAGATTGGGGCAATGGTTCTAAAGGAAATATAGTTGCAAGAAATTCTGGTTGGAATTTGGAGTTTGGAGAGTTATGATGATGTTCCAGAAGAAGATGACTTAACTATATTTGAATAATTGTAGATTGTTGTGCCGTACTTAAAAAAAATAACACAGCCCCTGAAAATAAGCCCTAGGGTGTCTTCTTGAGGAAAAATAAATATAAGACCCTGTCTTCTTTTTGGGGAACAAAAGCAGCAGCAGCAGCGACAGCCGTGGGTGTGGGGCCCACAGACCCGTCTGCGGCTGAACCGCTGTCAGGACTCAAGTCCGTATATCTGTGTTCCTAACTGTGGCTCTTCCCTGTCATTGTCCCTGTGCTGTCTGTGTCAAGGTTTCTTATCATCAGGTTTCCGTTAGTTTCACAAAAGGAATTTGATGGATTTCCATTTTTTTATGCTGTGTAACATAAATACAGCAAAGGAATTTTTATTTCTTTAGAATTTTAAAAAGTTACCAATAATGCTAGCTGCCAACAGAGCCTTTCTATTAGGATGAATTGTTTGATAACTTAGAATTTTTGCTGCAAGATCCGTTCAGGCTTTTTACTTGCTTTTGAGTCTATTTATCATTCCTTTCAGGTGAAGTTAACTATTTTATGGAGTACATGTTAGTCTACATTAGTATAAAGTTCTGGAGTTATAATGTATCCTATTACAATTAAAAATTTTTATATCTCATGGGATATGCAGTCGGCCCTACCTGTTTGTGGTTTGCAAATCCTCGGATCCACCCTGCAATGGGTGGAAAGTATACGGAAACATTGCGCCTGTACTGACCGTGTACGTGCTTTTTGTTCTTGTCATCACTCCCTAAACAATCCAGTGTAACAATTATGTACGTAGTGTTTACATGGGATTAGGTATTGTAAGTAACCCAGCGATGGTGTCAGGCAATTGGGAGGATGTGGGCAGGCCATACGCAAATACCGCCCCATTTTACGTAAGGGACTTGAGTGTCTGCAGTTTGGTGTCCGTGGGAGATACTGGAACCAACCCCCTCAGATATGGGGGGGCAGCGGTGCTCATTTTGATTACGCGGGCCACAAGATTTTCTACATTATTGTTGCTTCTCCTCTCTGCCCCCAAGCCCTTCTGTTTTCCTACATTAAACTAATCAGTTCTGAGATTTAGTCGGTTAGTGTTACTATCTTTATTTACTAATTATTTACTTCTATATGTATAATTTCTTCTTATTATCTCTTTAGCATTACTACTTGTTATCTTTTCTAAGTTAAACACTCTGATAATTTTCTTCATTTCCAACATTAGCGCATGTTTAAGGCTAAGAGTTCACTTTTGTCTACCTTAAACAATTGAGATACAATTCACACAGCTTAAAATTCACTCTTTTAATGTATATAACTCAGTTACTTGTAGTATATTCACAAAGTTTTACAGACATCACTTCTAACACTTCCAGAACATTTTCATCGCCTGAAAAGGAAACCCCATAGCAATGTGACACCCCCTGCCCTTGGCATCCACTAATCCACCTTCTTGTCTCTATGGATTTGGTTATTGTAGAAATTTCATGTGAATGGAATCATACAATACGTGATCTTTGTGTCTGGCTTCTTTCACGTAGCATGATGTTTTCAAGTTTCATCGATTTGGTAGCGTGTATCAGAACTTCATTCTTTTTTGTGGCTAAATAATATTTCAGAGTGGACACACAGCGTTTTGTTTCTCCATCCATGTGTTCATGGACCTTAGAGCTGTTTCTACCTTTTGTTTGTTGGCATTAATACGGTGTGAACCTTTGTAGTGTGTTTTTGTGCGGAGATGATGTTTTCAGCTCTCTTGGCTATACCTAGGAATATAACTGTTGGGTCATGTGGCAACTCTGTATTTAACTTTAATTGCCACTTTTTCCTAGCAAATACAGCTTTGACCATATCAACAAGTTTTGATATGTAATGTTTTCATTTTTGTTAAAAAATGTAATGAGTCGACGTGTTCTTCATATTATCTGTAATCAGACCAGCTTTGATAAGGAAGTTTTCTTTCCAACTTTAAGCTTTATTTTCTGTAAACAATTTTCGGATATATTTTTATTTCTGCTAAATAATTTTTAGATGTGTTTTTTTCTTTAAATATATTTACCTTAAGGTTTATTGTCTTTCTTTTGTGTTACAGAAATTTTTCTTATAGTTAACAAAGGAAACCTCAAAAACTCATCTTTCCTCAAAGGGATATGTGTAGTTTTCTTAGTTCCCTTCACATGTCATAGAAAGCAGATGTGAGTGTGTGTAGCCCAATTTCTGTTCCCGGTAGGCATTCGTTTGATCGTGCAGCTCTGTCTGAGATGAAACTGGCTTCAGCTCTTACCAGGTTAAACTCTGCCTTTGCAAGACATTCTGGTGAAGTCTAATGTTCTTATTCATCCAGGGTACCAGTAATAATAACAAATATAATATACTGCGTGGGTAGATACTATTATTGTTAGGATAGGGAGCTCAGCGAGTGGGTAGAGAAAGAATTCTCAATGCAAAGATTAGGATAGAAAGAAGTAAAAGGTTTATTTTACTTTCTCTGAGAGAGGGGGAGAGAGAGAAAGGAAAAGAGAGAAAGGGGTAAAATGCATGACACCCAAAAGAAAGAAAGGGGAAGTGAGAGCCCCAAGCAGAAGAGGCTTGGGACTTTTATGGGGAAAAAAAGAAAAATTTATTGTTGCAGTCTAATTAGCAGGAGACAGCTGTGAGATGTCAGAGTGTTTGTTTTTCCCTTTTTCTTCTCCTGGAGACTGGCTTATCCATGTAGTCTGGCCAAGTTGGTCTGGCAAGTGTAAAAGAAGAGGATTTACACTTCCTTTCTGTCTGCTCAGCTCTTCTCAAATGATGCGAAAGCAATCTCTGCAGATGGTTGATTTTCAAAGACTGCAAGTTAATACCCATGTGATTAATCTTAAAAACAGCAAGTTGGATAGTTTATTTTCCCTGTTAGTTTATTAGCAAGGCCATCCTTTTACTTATTATCCCCACTGATAGGAAATGAAGGCACAGAGAAGCTGGTTTGCCCAAGTTCACAGAGCTTGTAGGTGATAGAGGCAGGATTCAAACCCAAGCCCTCTGGCACAGCCTGTCCTCTTACCTGTGATTGGGTGTCTCTCGGCATATGAGACAATACACCTCCTCTTTCGAATGTGAGTTGCTCCCAGGGAAAGGGAGAAGGGGACTGTGAAAACTCTAAAGACCTTCTAGTTCCATCTCATATTTGTGCCACAACAATCACAGCTATTGTTTATTGCCTGTACATAAATCATCAGAATCTATCATTTCTGTAAATGGGTCTCCCTGTAGGTCAATTGAATTTAAGAAATTTGTGACAGAGGTTTCTTTAAGGTATTTCCACTGTTTTGAGATCCTTCAAGCAAAAGATCATGCTGCAAATATCACGTAGACCATTGATGCCCCAAGCAGATGGTTTGAAAGTAAAAGAGCTAATTAGGCATGTGGCATTCTCTCCCTTTAACTGGCTTGAATCATTGCACTCGAATTTAGTAAAAATCTTACAGGACACAAAGGGCATAGAACTGGTGACACCCTGTTTATACCCAAACTTTATGTGTTTTACCTTAAAGGGGTAGCTCATGCTAGGAGTTTTGGAACTGGAATTTACTACAATTTATGGGGAAACTGAGATCCCAAAGCACATGGAGACCAGTGGGCATCACAGTTAACATGGACTTCAAAGGCTTCTCCAGGGGGGTTCACCACAGCAGAGCCACTGGGGACTACTAGAACCTCCAGGAACAGTGCAGAGTCAAGGCAGCCATGATTCTCCTGTGGAAATGGGTCATTTGGTATTTTCCCCCATCAAACGAGGAATATACGAACACAGTCTCAAAAGGACGTTCCTTGAAATAGTATATAAATATTTGTGGCCATAATGAGGTAGAGAAGGGTGAATTAGGAGAAGCTATTATTGCTCAGTGTCAATATTGTTGTTTCTCTTGGGGTCTGTGGCTGTGCTGTGCAGGGACTTTCCTGGTGGCTTTGACCCAGTAGAATACAGAAGGACAAAAGCTTTGTCATGTGGAAGGTGTATTTCTTCCCCGAGTGTTATTGAACCCAGGCGACACTGAGATTTGGGAGCTGTTCCCAATACAGGAGGCTGCCGTTGGGGCGGGGTGTGACAGGGACATGGATTTGTGTTTTCCAGGCTACTCCATTGCTGGTTATCCACTGACTGGTCCAGGAGCAGCAAGAGGCCGGGAGCGGGGCTCACTGACCGTGCAGTGTCGTTATGAGCCAGGCTGGGAAACCTACAGGAAGTGGTGGTGTCGAGGCGTTGATTGGGGCAGCTGCAGCATCCTTATTGTGACCACTGGATCGGAGCAGGAGGTGAAGAAGGACCGTGTGTCCATCAGGGACAGACACAAAAACCACACGTTCACGGTGACCATGGAGGAGCTCAGGAGAGATGACGCTGACACCTACTGGTGTGGGATCGAGAGAAGTGGAACTGACCTTGGGGTCCAAGTGAAGGTGACCATTGACCCAGGTGAGATGGTGTGGATGTGTGGATGTGTGAGTGTGTTTCTCAGACTCTCGTCTGTCCTGGTCCCTTCAGTCCAACTGGAGTGAACTGTCACTCGGCATGAGATGTCCCAGATGATGCTTGAGTCCTGAGGTCTTGTTATGGATTGAATATTTGTGCCCTCTAAAACTCATGTTGAAACATAATCTCTCATGTGGTGTAATTGAGAGGTGGTTCCTTTAAGAGGTGATTGGGTCATGTAGGCTCTGGCCTCAGGAATGGATTAATCCATTCAAGGATTCAGGGATGAGTGGGTTAATCCTGGAGTGTGACTTATGGATTTATAAGAAGACAGAAAGAGACCTCAGCTGGCAGGCTCAGCCCCTTCAGGAACCAGTGACTCCCAGGGCAGCCCCGGGCTCGGGGTGGCAGGGATGCGCTGCAGGCTTGTGTTTGCAGCTGCTTCTCCGTCAGTGTCCACCTGCAGGGAGTGGCCTACAGGGGAGATGATGACCACCCAGTGTTGCTATGACCCAAGACGGAGGACCCAGGAAGTGGTGGTGTCGAGGGGCTGTGTGGAGCAACTGTAGGGTCCCTGTAATGACCACTGGGTCAGAGCAGAAGGGGAGAAAGGACCCTGTGTCCATCAGGGACAGTCAGAAAAGCCACCTGTTCACTGTGACCATGGAGGAGTCCAGGAGAGACGCCTCTGACACATTGTTGTGGGATTGAGAGATGTGGAAGTGACCTGGGGGTCCAAGGTGAAGGGACCATTGGCCCAGGGGAGAACTCTTCCCTCATGGGTCATGTGACCAGTGTGCTGAGGATGGAGGTTTCACAGTCCCCTTCCCCTTCCCCAGGCAATGAAGATGCGCCCCCACCGCTGCCTGAGAGCGTGAGTATGAGTGTTGGTGAGTTTGCGTGTGCGTGTGTGCGTGTGTGCGTGCGCATGTGTGGAATTTAGAGCTTTCACATCTGCATTACAGGTTGTGAACGTACCTCCTACCATTCCAGGCAGGTTACTGAGGGTGAAGCAGCATCGTCTTAATATATAAGTTCTTCCTGTTCTTTCTTCCTTTCCTCGCCTTCAAAAGATTCAGCGTACAGGGAAATCTTTCCTTACTGAAGCAAAAATAACACTTGAAGCGCGACAAATGGCAACTGACACGAGACCTCGGTGTGAGGGAGACCCTGAGCAGCAGTGAGGATCTCGGCAATCGGGAGTAAGAGATGTGGGGGAGACCCAGCACCCCCTACCCCCACTGCAGCCCAGGATCCTCGTGCAAGAAGTGGCTCTGTCATTTCAGATCTTTCAGTTTTTCCAGAGCAGCCAGAAGTCTGGATTTGATTGGAGACTCTTGAATTAAGACACGGGTTTAGTTGGGAACAAAAACAACAATATTGGCACCGTAGGCGTGGGGCCCACAGACCTGTCTGCGGCTGAACCCGTTGTCAGGACTCAAGTCCACACCTGTGTTCCTAAGTGCGGCTCTTCCTTGTCATTGTCCCTGTGCCGTCTGTGTCAAGTTCTGTTATTGGGTTTACATTAGTTTCACAAAAGGAATTTGACAGATTTTCATTTTTTTTATGCTCTGGAATCAGAAAATACATAGAGAAAAGAATTTTTGTTTCTTCACAATTACCTGTAATGCTAGCTACCATCAGAGCCTTTACTTGGATAAATTATTTCATGACTTAGAATTCCCCCCCAATGTTTACTGGTCTATTTGGTTTTTTTTTTTTTTTTTTTGAGTTTAGTTATCATTCTCCCACAAAGTTAACTATTTTATTGAGAACACATTGGCATAAAGTTCTGGAGTTAGAAAGTATCCTGTTATGATTTAAAAGGTTTATGTTTATTTTGATATATACTTAGTCCTTCTTGTCTGTGGGTTCCACATCCCTGGCCTCATCAAGGAATGTTCGCCATTGAGTTTAGAAAAATCTTACAAGACACAAAGGGCATAGAAGGGGTGACGCCCTGTTTATACCCAAACTTTACTTGCTTTGCCTTAAAGGGTAGCTCTTACTAGGAATTTGGTAACTGGAATTTACTGCAATCTGTGGAGAAACTGAGATCGTGTAGCACATGGGGACCAGTGGGCATCACTGTTTCCGTGGACTTCAAGGCTTCCCCCGGGGGGTTCACCACGGCAGAGCCATGGAGACCACTAGAACCTCCAGGAACAGTGCAGAGTCAAGGCAGCCCTGATTCTCCTGTGGAAACGGGTCTTTTGGGATTTTTCTCCCATCAGAATAGTATAATACAAACACAGTCGCAAAAGGATAATTCTTGAAATAGTGTATAATAGTATATATTATGTACTATTATATTTATATAACATAATAATATCTAGTATATATTATATACTATACTATAAATAGTATATTTGTGGCCATAGGGAGGTAGAGAAGGGTAAATTAGGAGAAGCTATTATTGCTCAGTGTCACCACTGTTATTTCTTTTGGGGTCTGTGGCTGTGCTGTGCAGGGACTTTCCTGGTTGGTTTGACCCAGTGGAACATTGAAGGGCAAAAGCTTTGTCCTGTGGAAGGTGTATTTCTTCCTTGAGTGTTATTGAACTCATGTGACACTGGGATTTGGGAGCTATTCCCAATGCAGGAGGCTGTGGCCCTGCCCTTGGGGTGGGAGGTGACAGGGAAATGGATTTGTGTTTTCTAGGCTACTCCACTGCCATGAATCCAACCGCCGGTCCAGGAACCAGGAGTACAACTACAGATCCAGGAGCCTCGAATCTGATCGCCTCCCCAGGAGCACTGAGCAGCGGGGAGCTGGGCTCAGTGACAATGCAGTGCCGTCAGAACCCAGAGTGGGAAACCTACAGGAAGTGGTGGTGTCCCGGGGCTGACTGGAGCAGCTGTAGGATTCTTGTGGTGATCCCTGGGTCAGAGCAGCAGGTGAAGGAGTACAGGGTGTCCTTCAGGGCTGGTCAGGAAGACCACATGTTTAACATGACCATGGTGGAGCTCCGGAGAGCCCACCCTGACACCTGCTGTCATGGGATCAAGAGAAATGGTACTGATCTTGGAGTCCAAGTGAAGTTGACCCTTGACCCAGGTGACAGTGTGTAGATGTGTCTCTCAGGGCTGCTCTGTCCTTATCCGTGAGGTCTCACTTTATGAACTATCAATGAGCATAACCTGTTGCACATAATGATTGAGTCCTGAGTTCTTGCTATGGGTATTTCTCTCCTCTAAAACTCATTTTGAAAAATAATCTCTCATGTGGCGGTATGGAGAGGTGGGTCCTTTAAGAGGTAATTGGGTCATGCAGGCTCTGCCCCCATGATTGGATTAATCCATTCATGGGTTAATGGAAAGGTGGGTTACCATGGGAGTGGGACTGGTGGTTGTCCAGTAAGAGGAAGTGAGACCTGAGCTGTCACACTCAGCCCCTTCGCCTGTGATGCCCTGCAGAGAGTCCCCCAGCAAGAATCCTCCCACCAGATACGGCCCCTCGACCTTGGATTTCTCAGCCCCCACAATTGCATGAAACAAATTGCTTTTCTTTATCAATTACTCAGTTGTAGGTATTGTGTTATGAGCAACAAGAAACCCAGACTATGACAGTGTCATAGAGTCAGGTCACCCACTGAGGGTCGGAGGGCAGGGCTTCTCCCATGTGCTCTGCCACTCCCAGCACCTTTGCCAGGATGGATTAAGCCTCTCTAGGCCCATGTTCTAAGTTCTGAACAGCTCAGTGTCTACGTCTATTGCTCACAGGGGCAAGATGATGGTCCCAGCTGCAGCCCCTGGGCAAAAGACTGCGCCTTCCATGGTACCGAGAGACCCCAACCTGCCAGTTCCTTCCTGGGACATCTCGTTCCCAGGTGCTCCCTGCACTCAGTGAAGTCTGGGCTGGGACTTCACAGCTGCTGTTGCCACCCCCATCCCACATCCACGCTGGGACAAGAGAGGCCCGGCGTCGTCGGGTGCTGGGTGTGATTCCTGAGGTCCAGAAAGGCCTTCACAGTCAAACAGCTGCGTTCCTGGGGCTGAGTCCCACCAAGCTCCAGTTATGCATTTGGGCTTAGCAAGGTTGTCTTCCCACGTCCTCCTAGAAGGCAGACACTCCTGGGGGGCTCCGAGGGGACATTCCCCAGTGGCCTGGTGTGTGTGTTGGGTTGGGCTTCTTTTCCCCACCGGTGGCCGGAACCATTGTAGGGCCCTGGTGCCACGGGGTCAGCATCGCAGTCCTCACGGCCCCAAGTGGCATCTGGGATCCCTGGGGAATGTTCTTGTTTGGGCTTGGGTAGCAGGGCTTGCAAGGAGACAGTGTCCCCATCCCGGTCATCAGTGCACTAGCTCTGCCCTCCTTGGAACAGTCCAGGCCTGGTCACACCAGGAGCTCCTCCTCCCTGGGCCGCGTGTGTGTCCATACTCATGTCTTGCTGGGGTCATGCGTGGGGCCCCCAGCCCATTCCTGTGCAAGTGTCGCTGGCGAAGGAGAGAGAGCTGCTGCACTGCCCGGGTGCTCCCGCTCCCCTCTGACCGCCTCTGAGGCTCCCCAGGACTCAGACTCTGCCCATCGGCCTGGGAGCCTCAGCTGAGCCTGGAAGGAGCGATGGCTGCAGAGAGCAGGAGGCCCGGGGCCCCTGCAGGCCTCTCCTTCCATAACCCCTTTGCCCTCCTGGCTCCACTGAGGTGGGAGGGATGTCCCCCTCCCTGTCCTGCACGAGCTGCTGTGTGTAGGGATGACAGACCTTTTGCACACACGGAGGGAAACTATAGAACTTCTGCTTCTGGGCAAGGTGGAGTACTAAGGACTCGATTAGCCTCTTAAATAAAATAGGCGAAATATATGGAAGTAAGATTTTGAAGGCATTGGACTCAGGCAACCATCAGAGGGATGTATAGAAAAAGGAAATGAAAGTGAGGGCCCTGTGCCTGCCCGGCTCACTGCCTTGAGTGACCTTCCAGGTGGAGACTCAGAGAGGGAAGCCAGGTGGAGCCTGGGGGACTGTTGTGAGAGCCCCCAGCTCACGTGGGTCCAGTCCCAGAGCAGGTGGCAACCTCCCTGTCCAGAAAAGAAAGGAACTTGGCAGGTGGGTGTTTACCTTGGGTCTTTCATGGGACAGATTTCTAGCTGCTGGACAGCCTCATGCACAGTTGTCTCGGCAGAGAGGAGAGAGTTGAAAAAAAGTGCCAGAGGACCCGGACTGAGCCTTCCCTGGGACCTCGGAGTGTCCCAGTGAGCCCTGTTGCTTCTGCCCGCAGCCAGGACTTGTAGGGGAGTGCAGGACTTCGGGAGCATTGGATTCCTCCTTCCTTCTTTCCTTTCCTCCTTCCTCCCTTGCTAGTTTCATTGAGATACACGTGGGATAAAGGACATGGCATGTATTAAAACGTGTACAGTTTGAAACATTTTTCTTGTTGTTTTTATTATCTCGTCAAATTGCCCATTCTGCTGTCTGTGGGCATGTGGGCAGTTCCACGTTCTTGGCCACCGTGAGTAGTGTCACTGGGAAGGTGTGAGCCCACGCCTGTGGCGAGCTTGTGCGGCCTCCTGAGCAGCACGAGGAGGGACCCTGGGGTTGCATCAGGAGGAGCGACTGTAAGAGAGGAGAGGCTGCAGGGACAGTTCCATCTTAGCCTCAGCACGTGTGTCAGGACGAAGCCAGGCCCTCCTGGGCAAAGTAGGGCCTGAGGTGTGGGTTGGGACATCTGCCACAGCACCCCCAGTTCCTGCAGCCCCCCGGGGTCTGCAGAGCGTCTGATGCACTTGCTAGGAGGCACCGGCTCCCTGCCAGAGACCGTGGTGACTTGTCCAATGATGCAGCTGCCTCACCGGACACTGCTGCCCTCTGAGGATCTACTTCAGGGGTCTGCCCTCCTTTCCTCTCCTGACCCCAGACCCTCGACTGGTCACTGGTCACTGACTGGGTCAGGGCCAGCACGATTCTCCTGGGGACCAGCTGGTGACTGAGGGAAAAGCAAAGCTGATCTGTCCCGCAGGACCCCGGGTGGGTCTGGCAGGCCAGGGAGAGTTTGGCCGCATTGCGGGGTCAGACGCACAGCACAGGGGCCTCCGACCACTGTGGAGCCGGGAGACGGGGTCTAGCGCACTGCAGCAGGTTCAGAATGAAACCAGAGCCAAGATCAAGATCCTAGAGATGAGAGGTACCCTGCGCGTCTATCCCTGGTTTCTGGAAACACAGTAGAGGTGGATCCATCAAGCAATTACATTCTCATATTGATGTTGAGTCTGAGGAAGGCCCACAATTTAGAAGGGTAGGACCAGATAAAACAAAACAACACAACAGAGACAGGGCCACACAGTGAAGAGATACATAACTCAGGGAACAGAAGAGAGCTTGAAACACATCGGCAATGGAGAACCCAAAGAGAGCTTTCGGAAATAAACGTATAATTTCTAATATTAATATTTGAAACAAGGGTTGGAAGAAAAAGTAAAAGCACAAAATGCAACAATATAAGAGCCTTCCCCAAAGTAGAACAAACCCCACGTGTATGAAACATATAAAAGGAAAAGAGGAGACAAAAAGAATGTCTCAGGGAGAGAGGGGACGAGAGTGATGCGGTGGGGGGGGGCAGGAGAGGCTGGGAAGGCCACGTTGGAGGACAGCAGACCACCAGGGGCCAGGACCCATCGGAAGGCAGGTGGACAGATGGGGAGGAAGCAGCCAGAGCAAAATGCAGCCAAAGAGAAAGGGCCAGGTCCCTTCCTGCCACTCGGAGCACAGGCCTCAGCTCCAGAGTGTCTCAAGACCCCAGAGGAGGCTGGCACTTGGGAGCCCTGAGGGGGAGGCCGGGTGTGAGCTGTGGGTGCTGCCTTCATCCCAAAGTGCAAATCAGCACGTCTCCATCTGGGGCCTCCTCGCCCCAGCCTCCCCCTTGCCAGCCTCCTCCTCTCCCGCTGGCAGCAGATCCCGCATCTCGTGCCTGGGTTGCCCCTGGCTCCCGTCCCTGACCCCTGGTCAAACCCCACCAGGCCTGGGGACTTCTCCTTTTCCAGGTGCACAAAAGTGTCAATGCAGCTGGTGTCACAGTATGACTCATTCTTCCAAAGAATGACACTCCTTTCCTGTTCATATGGAAAATGGGGAAATAGCTGAAGATATAAGGACATTCGTGGAGCAGGCTTGCGGGATTCTCTTCCCAGCTTGGCTGCAAGTGTCTGAAGGGCGTTGAGCACCTGTGAGCACCCAGGCGAGGAGAGGAGCCAGGACCATGTGGCTGTCCCCTGCTCTGCTCCTTGTCATCCTGTCAGGTGAGTGCAAATGCTGGGCGTCAAGTGGAAGGAATGGCCCAGGGGAGACTTTCCCTCATGAGGTCATGTGGACCAGTTTGGCTGAGGGGCTGGAGGGTTTCACGTCCCGTCCCCTTCCCAGGAATGAGGATGCGCCCAACCTGCCCTGAGAGCGATGATTATGATGTTTGGTGAGTTATCGGTGGTGTGTGTGCTGGTGTGCGTGCGCGTGTGTGGATTTGAGTTTCAATCTGCATTACAGTTTGTGAGTACTCCACCCAGCAGTACATGCGGTGAGCACTTTATAATAAGTTCTTCCTGTTCCTCTTCTTTCGCCCGAAGACAGTACAGGCGACTTCAGAAAGAACTTGAGCATGAAAGGCATGACACGAACCCGTGTAGGAGCCTGACAGCAGTGAGCACCCTCGGCGAATCGGAGTAGAGATGTGGTGACCAGCACCCCTTCACCCCACTGCAGCCAGGGTCTGTGCAAGAAGTGGCTCGTCATTCAGTTTTCAGTTTTCAGAGAACCAGAGTTGGAGATTGAGATCTCTGATAAGACACGGTAGTGAAAAAGCTAGGCGTGCGGGCGACCGTGTCGGACCAAGCCCGTCTATGGGCTTTCTGTTCTGTCTGTGCTATGTCATCTGTAGAATCACAAAAGAGAATTGCTTGAAACAACATAGAGAAAGAATTTGTTTCAACTGTAATGCTAGTACCTCAGAGCTTTATTGGATAAATTATTTCATGACTAGCCCCCATACTGGCTTTTGGTGAGTGTATAACAAGTTATATTGAGAACAATTGGCATAGTCTGGAGTTAGAAGTATCCTGTATGATAAAGGGTTAGTTGTTTACTTAGTCCTTCCTGTCTGTGGGTTCACACCTGGGTCATAAAGGATGTTCGCCATTGAGTTAGAAATCTACAAGACACAAAAGGCAAGAAGGGTGACCGACGGATAAAGGTATTACTAGATGGTAACTGTTGCCTTGGAGAACTGAGTGAGCCATGACCAGTGGCTTTCGTGGCAGTTCCCGGGCACGGCAGAGCCATACCGAGACATAGAAAACTCCAGGGCATGCAGGTAGGAGCCTGAATTTCTGGTGAATGGTCTTTTGGGCATCTTTTCCCATCAGATAGTATAATACAAAACGTCGAAAAGGATAATTTTGAAATAGTGTATAATAGTATATATATACTATTATATTTACTTAATAATAATTCCTAGTATAATATTATATTATATACTATAAAATATTATTTTTTGTGGCCATAGAGAGGTAGAGAGGGTGAATTAGGAGAAAGCTATATTGTCAGTGTCAATATTGTTGTTGCTATTGGGGTCTGTGGCTGTGCTGTTGCAGTGACTTTCTGGTTGGTTGACCAGTGGACATTGCGAGCAAAGCTTTGTCTGTGGAAGGCTTGTTATTTCTTCCTTGAGTGTTATTTGAACTCATGTGAACTGGTTGGAGCTTTCAATGAGGAGGCTGTGCTGCCCTTTGGGTGGTGAGGTGACAGGCGAAATGGTTTGTGTTTTCAGTACTCCACTGATGATCAAACGCGGTCAGGAACAGGAGTATGACTACGATCGAGCTCGATTGATCGCCTCCCAGGGCATGGGGAGAGGGACTGGCTCCAGTGACATGCAGTGTAGTCAGCCAGAGTGGGAACAGGAAGTGGTGTGGTTCCTGGCCGTACTGGAGCATGTGTAGGTTTGTAGGTGTCCCTGGGTCAGAGCGGCAGCAGTGAAGGAGATAAGGGTGTCCCTACGGGGGGTCAGAGACCAAATGTTTACATGACGATGGTGGAGCTCAGGGAGACAGCCCTGACACTTGCTGGTGTGGGATCAAGAGAATGGTATGATCTTTGGGTCCAAGTGAAGTTGACCTCCAGGTGACAGTGTGTAAGTGTCTCTCAGTGCTCTGTCTTATCGTGAGGTTCACTTTAGAACTTCATGAGCATAACCTGGACTAATGATGAGTCCTGAATTTTGCTTTGATGGCTTTTCTCTCCTCTAAAAGGATGAATAATTTGAAATAATCATTTTGAAATAATTATGGCTGGTATAGAGAGGTGGGTCCTTTAGAGAGTAATTGTACCATGAGGCTGCCCCATGATTGGATTCAATCCATTCATGGGTTCAATGGAAAGTGGTACCAATGGAGGGGGACTGGTGGTATGTCCAGTAATTGGAAGTGAACCTGAGCTGTCACATAGCCTTCGGCCTGTGATGCCTGCAGGAGTCCCCAGCAAGAATCTTCACAGATACGGCCTCGACCTTGGATTTCTCAGCCCACAATTGCATGAACAATTGCTTTTCTTTATCATTATCGTTGTAGGTATTTTGTGTTATTTAGCACAGACCCAACTGATACATTTCTAGAGTCAGGTCACCATGGAGGGTCGGGAGGGAGGGCTTCTCCATGTGCTCTGCACTCCCAGCACCTTGCAGGATGGCTTAAGCTCTCTAGGCCATGTTAAGTTCTGAACGGCTCAGTGTCTACGTCTATTGCTCACAGGGGGGCAAGATGATGGTCCCCGCTGCAGGGCCATGGGCAAAAGACTGCGCCTTCATGGTACCGAGAGACCAACTGCAGTTCTTCCTGGGAATAGTTCAGGTGCTTCCCTGCGCTCAGGAAGTCTGGGGGCATGGGACTTCACAAGCTGCTGTTGCACCCATCCACATCCACGCTGGGAGAGCAGAGGCAGCGTCGTCGGGTGGTGTGATGTATTCCTGAGGTCCAGAAAATTCCTTCACAGTCAATAGCTCGCGTTTCCTGGGGCTGAGTCCACCAAGTCCAGTTTGCTTTGGGCTTGCAAGGTTGTCTTCCACGTCCTCCTAGAAGAGCCATCCTGGGGGCTCGATGACTTCCCCAGTGCTGGTGTGTGTGTTGGGTTTGGCTTTTTTCCACCTGTGGGCCGGAACCATGTAGGGCCCTGTGCCACGGGGTCGCATCGGCGAGTCCTCACGGCCACACGTTGGTCCGGGATCCCTCTGGAATGTTCTTGTTTGGCTTTGGTAGCAGGGCTTGCAAAGGAGACAGTGTCCCATCCGGTCTCAGTGCACTAGTCTGCCCTCTTGGAATCAGTTCAGGCCTGGTCACACCAGGAGTCCTCCTCCTGGGCGCATTGTGTCCATACTTCCACCTATTGCCTGGAGTCTAATGCGTGGGGCCCCCAGCCATTCTGTACAGTGTCACTGGCGAGGAGGGAGAGCTTGCTGCACTGCCCGGGTGTCCCGCTCCCTCCTGACCGCCTCTGAGTGTCCCAGGACTCAGCTCCGCCCATCGGCCTGGGAGCCTCGCTGAGCCTGAAGGAGCGGAATGGCTGCAGAGAGCAGGACGGCACAGGCCTGAGACCTGTCCTTCATAACCCTTTGCCCTCCTGGTCACTGGAGTGGGAGGGAGTCCCCTCCTGGTCCTGCACAAGCTGCTGTGTGTAGGATGCAGACCTTTTGCACACACGTGAGGAAACTATATGAATTTCTGCTTCGAGGTGAAGGTGGGCCGTCTGTCCATCAAGGATAGACATGAAGACCACGTGTTCACCGTGACCATGGAGGACCTCAGGAGAGACGACGCTGACACTTACTGGTGTGGGATCGAGAGAAGTGGAACTGACATTGGGGTTCAAGTGAAGGTGACCATTGACCCAGGTGAGATGGTGTGGATGTGTGGATGTGTTTCTCAGACTCTGCTCTGTCCTGATCCCTTCAGTCCTACTGGGGTGAATTGTCGGTCTGCATGACATGTGACAGATGATGGTTGTTGAGTCCTGAGGTCTTGCTAGGGATTGAATATTTGTGCCCTCTAAAACTCATGTTGAAACACAATCCCTCATATGGCGTTATTGAGAGGTGGGTCCTTTTAGAGGAGATTGGGTCATGTAGGCTCTGGCCTCAGGAATGGATTAATCTATTTATGGATTAATGGATGAGTGGGTTATCCCAGGAGTGCAACTAGTGGCTTTATAAGAACAGTGAATAAGATCTGAGCTGGCAGGCTCAGCCCCTTCAGGAACCAGTGGGTCCCAGGGCAGCCCTGGGCTCGGGGTGGCAGGGATGCACTGCAGGCTTGTATTTGCAGCTGCTTCTCCGTCAGTGTCCACCTGCAGGGAGTGGCCCACAGGGGAGATGATGACCAGGCAGTGTTGCTATGACACTAGAAGGGAAGACCACAGGAAGTGGTGGTGTCGAGAGGGTGTGTGGAGCAACTGTGGGGTCCCTTTCGTGACCACTGGATCAGAGCAGGAGGCGAGAAAGGACCGTGTGTCCATCAGGGACAGTCAGAAAATCCACATGTTCACTGTGACCATGGTGGAGCCCAGGAGAGACGACGGCGACACATTGGCGTTGGATTGAGAGACGTGGAACTGACCTGGGGGTCAGGGTTAAAGGGACCAACGACCTGGGGACAACTCTTCCCTCATGAATCATGTGACTTAGGATGGAGGTTTCACAGTCCCCTTCCACTTCCCCAAGCAATGAAGATGCACCCCCACCCCTGCCTGAGAGCGTGCGTATGAGTGTCAGTGAGTGTGGGTGAGCCCGAGTGTGGAATTTAGAGCTTTCTCATCTGCATTACAGGTTGTGAACGTGTCTCGAGGCATTCCAGGCAGGTTACAGAGGGTGAAGCAGCATCGTCTTAACGTATAAGTTCTCCCTGTTCTTCCTTCCTTTTTCTTACCTTTGAAAGAGTCAGCGTACAGGGAAATCTTTCCTTACTGAAGCAGAAATAACACTTGAAGCAGGACAAATGGCACCTCACATGAGGCCTCGTTGTGAGGGAGACCTGGAGCAGCAGTGAGGACCTCGGCAATAGGGAGCAAGAGATGCGGGGAGACCCAGCCCACCCCAAGGCAGCCCACGGTCCTCATGCAAGAAATGGCTCTGTCATTTCAGATCTTTCCGTTTTTCCAGAGCAGCCAGAAGTCTGGATTTGAGTGGAGACTCTCCAAGTTAAGACATGGGCTTAGTTGGGAACAGAAACAGCAGCAGCGACAGCCGTGGGTGTGGGGCCCACAGACCCATCTGCGACTGAACCTGCCTGCTCTCAGGAATCAAGTCCGCATCTGTGTTCCTAAGTGCGGCTCCTCCCTGTCATTGTCCCTGTGCTGTCTGTGTCAAGGTCTGTTACTAGAGATGTGTTAGTTTCACAACAGGAACTTGACAGATTTCCATTTTTTTATGCTTGAGAATTAGAACATAAATACAGAAAAATAATTTTTGTTTCCTTAGAATTTAACAAAATTACCTATTATGCTAGCTGCCAACAGAGCCTTTACCTGGATAAATAATTTTATACCTTAGAATTCCTCCCCAATGATTATTGCTATATTTACAATTTTTACTTTTTTTTTAGTTTAGTTATCATTCTTCGCAAAGTTAACTATTTTGTTGAGAACATATTGGCATAAAGTTCTGAGTTAGAAAGTGTCCTGTTATGATTTAAAAGTTTTATATTTCTCTTGATATACACTTGGCCTTTCCTGTCTGTGGGTTCCACATCCCTGGACTCATCAAGGAATCTTCGCCATTGAGTTTAGTGAATATCTTATAAGACACAAAGGGCATAGAAGGGGTGACACCCTGTTTATACCCAAACTTTATTGTTTTACCTTAAATGATAGTTCTTACTAGGAATATTCATACTGGAATTTACTACAATTGATGGAGAAACAGATTCCCCAGCACACGGAGACCAGTGGGCTTCACTCTTTCTTCTTTGACCCAGTGGAACATTGCAGAGCAAAAGCTTTTTCATGTGCAAGATGTACTTCTTCCTTGAGAGTTATCGAACTGATGTGACACTGGGATTTTGGAGCTATTCCCAATGTAGGAGGCTGTGGCCCTGCCCTTGGGGTGGGAGGTGACAGGGACATGGATTTGTGTTTTCCAGGCTACTTCATTGTGAGGAGTCCAACCGCCCGTC